CAAGGACAGCACATTTAAAGTATTTCTGTTTCTTTTTATTTGAGTCTATTAGAGGGGAGAAAAAATGTGGAATGAATCGCTTGTAGTAACTGGAGAGTCCCAGGAATTGTTGTACCTCCCATTTTGTGCAAGGCTGCAGTAATTGGCTTAACTTTTCAACCTTATCTGCCATGGGCCATATTTGGCCTTGCCCTACAATGTACCCCAAATACTGGACCTCTTGTTGACCTATTTTTCATTTATTTGGGTTAGCTGTCAACTGTGCTTGCCTCAAAGCAGTTAATACTTGCTGGAGGTGGGCTAGATGTTCCTCCCAAGTGCAACTGAATACCACAATATTGTCAATATAGGCAGCTGCACAATGAGACAAGTGCCCCAAGACTTTGTCTATGAGCCACTGAAAGGTGGCAGCTGCCCCATGCAACCCTAAGGGCATATAGTTAAATTGAAATAGCCCAACAGGGGTGGCAAAGGCTGTCTTTTCCTTGGACTCCTCAGTTAATGGGATTTGCTAGTATCCCTTGGTGAGATCCAAGGTGGAAATGAAATGGGCCTGCCCCAAAGGATCCAGTAGCCCATCTATCTGGGACATGGGGTAGGTGTCAAATTTCGATACAGAGTTGATTTTTATGAAATCAACACAGAAGGAAACACTCTGATCAGATTTGGGTACTAGGACCGGCTGACTCCTCCAAGAGCTCACCAGCTCCTCAGTGACTCCCAGTTGAATCATTTGCCCTACCTCCTCAATTATCACTTGCTTCAACTGAGGTGGGTAGGGCCTCATTGGCACCCTGACAATAGCCCCAGGGAGTGCCTGGATGTGATGGGTGCCTAGGCTGATCAGCAAATACTTCAGCAAGTTTTTCCTCCAAGACCCTAATTTGTTCTACCTGAGTTGGTGTTAGCTGAAAACCAAGAGATAACCTCCCTAGGTAGCTGCTTGGTTCCTTTGGGATCACAGGTTCCATGGGCATGCAATCTGCTTGGTGTCCAGGTTTCTCTCTTTCCTTCTTGGCCTTGAGTAGATTTATGTAGTAAAGCTGGGTTGAATGCTTCTTATTGGTGAGACCTCAAACATCTTGCCCACCCCTGAGGATAGGAGCAGGAGGATGCATTGGCCTGATTGGAATGTCCAGCGTTGGACCTGCTGTTCCTCTTGGACTTGCCTAAAGTTACCCTTCACCTGCTGAGCCATGTCCGTGAGGTGCTTTCTCATATCTAACACATATTGGAAAGGGGAGGTGGGTGGAGGTAATGTGTCTTGGTCCTTTTTATTGAAAATTCTTAAATACCTAGAATCTGGTCCAAAATTTATGAACTGGATCCAAGCAATTTATACTAAGCAACATGCAAAGATCCTTATAAATGGAATGCTAACCAATAGTTTTCAAACTGAAAGGGGAACCCATCAAGGATGTCCAGTATCTCCACTTCTATTTATCCTTGTATTGAAAGTTTTAGTCAGGAAAATTCAATAGAACCAAACATAAATGGCTTAAAAATAGATGGAAAAGAATACAAAATGAAAAGTTATGCAGATGATACAGTGTCAACCATCTTAATTCCACATCTACCTATACAACAAATAATAGACAAAATAGGAAAAGTTGTATATTACTCCAGTTAGAAAATCAATAAGAAGAAAACAAAAATCATATTGATATATTTAATGAAACAACAAGAGGAAAATATTTTTAAAAATTTGAAATAACTTCAGATCTGGTCATGTAACTAGGTATAAATGTGACAGGAAATGATACACTATTTCAAGATAATGATAAAACGACCTTCAGATAAAAATCCTGAAGGACTTACAGATATTGTCTAAATCTAAAATTTCATGGCTGGGAGAATCTCCATCATAAAAATGATTGTATTACCAAACTGAATTTCCTGTTTCAGATGTCATCAATAACAATACAGGGAAAAACCTTACAAGATTGACAAAGACAATTGAGTGTTTTTATTGGAATGGGAAAAAACTAAGGATTAGATTTAAAGTATTGCAAAATGGAAAGAGGGAGAATGAGGGAGAAGGCCTTGCAGTACCAGACATCAAATTATACTATTATTTGGTAGACCTAGTATGGATTACAGAATGGATTTTTAATTTCAATGAAAGATTAGTGAAATTGGAAATTACAGACCTAGATGAAGGTCTGCAATCTATTATGGGCTAAAGAATCAATTTAAAAACACTGACACCAAACAATAGTCATGTATTTAGAGATGGTTTAATAAAAATTAGGTACTCCATGAGGAGAAGAATTAGCCTTCCAATCTCTCATATAATGTTCCCAATAGAAGTGTACTGTGGAAAACATTCTAGGTTAACAGCCTTTTGCAATCTGGTTTGAGGGTGGACCCTATTGAACCTTAGGCATTTTATTTATTTATTTAAAACTTTGATATGCTGCCCCACATGCCTCAGCATCTTGGGATGGCTTACAATGTAGCCTGTAGTGACAAATTTGCACAATACTTTGAGGGTAAAATAACTTGGATCTGCCATGAATTGGATTCCACAGTTGGAGTTAGTCCTATACAGGAGAAGTGCAGTGCGCCGTCTTATTCAATCTTGTTGGATGAGTTTCAATAATTGTGGCATGAGGATGTGGACAAGGTGCTTGGACCTCCCACCACCTGTATACTCAACCCTTGCCCTTCCTTGTTGATTACCAAAGCCAAGAAAGGGATGCAACCCTGGGTCCAGTAGGTCATCAATGCCTCTCTGAGGGAGGGCCTGTTTCCATCTCCTTTGAAGGAGGCGGTGATCAGGCCACTCCTGAAAAAGGTGACTCTAGACCCAGAGGATGTCACCAACTATAGACTGGTGGCTAACATCCCATTCTTAGGCAAGGTGCTTGAGAGGGTAATGGCTGGGCAACTCCAGGCACTCTTGGAAGAAACTGTCCATCTAGATCCACTTCAGTCTAGTTTCATACCCAGTTATGAGACAGAAATTGCCTTGGTTGCCCTGTGGGATGACCTTTGCTGGGACAGCAATAGCAGGAGTGTGTCCCTTTTAATTCTTCTGAACCTCTCTGTGGCTTTCAATATCGTCAACCATGGTTTCCTCCATGGATAAGCTGGCCGGGTTGTGGGTTGGAGGCACTACTCTGCTGTGGTTCCACTCCTATCTGTCTGACCAATTCCAGATGAGGAAGACAGTCTTTGTGATAGCTCTACAATTATGGAACTGACTCCCTAGAGAGGTGCGCCTGGCGCCAATGCTTTACTCATTTGGCGTCAGGCCAAAACCTTTTTATTCTCCCAGTTTTTAAATTAATAATGTATTTTCATTAGTTGAAGCAAGTGTGGGCACTGAGGAGTTTTTAAGTACTGTATAGTTGTATAGCTGTAATATGGTTTTAATAAATATTTATACTTTTTTTCTGGCTTTTTGTATAAACCATCTTGAGATTTTCTAATAAGTCAGTATATAAGAAATTTTAAATAAATAATAAAAACAAGCACTTATAAATATGGAGACATGGTCAACCAATGAGGTAAATAAAATCATGGCAAGAATTAAAAGACGATGGTAAAAACATAAAATGACTCCTCTCTCATCCATTAGCCTCAAGATTTAGAAAGAAAATTCAAACTGGAAAAGGCATAATAAGAAATTTGATGGACTTTGACATTATAATTATTAATCAAACAGGCCATCTCCTAGGATTAATGTATAATCAACTGCTTAATTATGATATTGAGACTCAACAAGACAAAATATGCATGAAGAGCTGGACGCAGAATTTTCAAAAAGAAATATTGTTCCACCAATGGGAAGTCTTATGGACAAAGGACACAAAATTTACTGCATGCCAAGCAATAAGAGAAAATTGATATAAGATGTATTTCCAGTGGTATAATACCCAGAAGGATATATAGAAAATGGGCAAGAATTTTAATGGAAAATGCTGGAAATACAAAGAGACAGATGGGACATTTTACCATATGTGGTGGGCATGTGACAGAACCAAAAATGTTTGGAAGCAGACACATGCTGATATGCAGAAAATACTCAAAATTGACTTTCCATTGAATACCAAGAACATGTTACGGAATATTGTCCCAGAGACTATTCCAAAGGTTATGACAGACTTCTCCAAATATATGATAACAGAGGCAAGTGTGATAATTGTCTCAAAGTGGAAAGCTGAAGACTGCCTAGCTGTCGAAGATGGGAAAAACAAGCTAGCTGAGTATGCAACAATGGCGACGCTAACTAATTAAGTCAACAGAAGAATTTACTCAAAGATGGAAGGCTTGCTATGAACTATTTAAGTAATGGTTAAATATTTTATACAATCTGGATTCCCTCCCTTCCCCAAGATTGGGAAAAAGGAAATAGAGAACTCGGTGATGATTTCATATGGCTTGATCAGAGTAAACTTTAAAGAAGCTCCATCCCAAACTGCTAGAAAACCTGTTCAATCTTCATTCTCCCATTGATGATTTTCTTCCAGATCCCTATAATAGAAGTTTATATTTTTTGTGAGTACACAAGGACTAAGAACTTAGGTTTAAAATGAAAGTGAAGTTTTAGCATGCTGAATTATATAGCAGAATTAGCAAATTCAACTAAACCAAAAAAGGTACACATTAGTTAATTTAATGAGAGCTGGCATTTTGTGGAGTGCTTAATGGTTAAAGAATGTGTTTGCAGGATGTTGCAGCTGGTACACCAAACCCAAGAGGAATGAATTTGGGTTTGGAATGTGTACAGCTCTTAATATTTTAAAACAGTGAGCTCTCTTAAGCTATTTTTAGTCCTTGATGATGCCACAAGGGACATATTTTACTTTTGTGCTGTCTGGGTAAGGTGGAGTTGTGCTCTGACACATCTGAAATGCAGATTAGGAAAGGCAAAGATGAACATGTATCTTAGTATCAATGTCCAACCTGCCAAACACACCTTAAGTTTCTAGATAATTTGGGCATGATTTTCCCTGCTAAAATACATACGCTGTGCTGCTGTTTTTCTTTTTTAGGCCATGCACACTTAACAGATTTTAATATTGCAACAATCATCAGAGATGGTGAAAGGGCAACTGCTCTAGCTGGAACAAAGCCATATATGGGTAACTAAACATTTTCTATTTGTTTAATGACAACACTTGCATGCAGACATTTTCATAATAAGCCATGTAATCTTTTTCCTCCCCATTTCAAATGTTTGGATTTTCTTTGCCAGTGACCAGTTTACCAGTTAAAACTGACCACTATGAAAAATCATATTAGCAATACAGAAACAAAAATGAGCCAGGTTTAATGGAATAAAAACACATTTATTTTGATCACACAGAACAAAAACACACAGCATTCCAAATAAATGAAACTCAATATATCTCTCATGCCTATCTGTGTTTCCTGGCTCTGCATAGTAATGTAGATCCCACCAGACCAGAGCAAACCTCCCTGCAGAGTTGTTCAAAGCTCTAACAGATCAATGGGCTAGAGGTCAGTGGTTATCAGCAGGCAGCATACACCCATCTTTGAACAATCACACATTAACTCTGAATCTGTGTTTCTTTCTAGCCACCAGCCAGGTTTGCCTCATGGACCACCTGCATCTCAATATAAGCATCATTTTAGTAAATAACTACATGTTTGATGCTCATATAAGGGATCTTTGCATACTTTTTATCACACATGAAGGATAATATATGATGGCATTTTATGTGACAAAATATGATCATTAACTGTTAAAGCTTAACATTTAATTATTCCCAATTTATCATGCATTGACATTTCACCTGCTGGTGTTTCATGTAAAGGGATGAATTCAGTATATGAGTCTGGGACCTTCCAATTTATCCCTTGAGCCATTTGTTCACAGTCCCCACTTTATATCAAATGAGTTCAGAGCAATGGATAACTGCAGCAAAAATCACAGACCCAGGCCTAGGTTTACACATAAAGGTCAATGATCCCCCAGGCTACTCCCATCTCCCTAGGTCCCTGGCCTGTTTTGAAACTTTTGAAAAGAGGAAGCTACAGAAGAGTTCATACTAGCAAGACTTATTGTGCATATTACCATATCTTAGGAAAATCCTAAGAGGTACTTGTGTCCAGGTCAGGCCAGGTTCCCAAGTGTTCTTGCTTGAATAGCAGTTGGTGGCTTTTCTTCCTGTGGCTGATGGCTGTAGCCAGATTGTTCTTTGCTTCTGTAGCCCTATGAGTTGATGGATGTAGAAATGTGTTTGCCACGAGAATAATATCACAAAAACCAAAAATGATGGAAGTGTTTATTTATTTACCACAATACTATAGCACTCCACATCTAAACAAATGTAATCATTGCCTCCTTTTTTTTCTCCTTTCCAGCTCCAGAGATCTTTCATTCCTTTCTGAATGGTGGAACTGGTTACTCCTTTGAGGTTGATTGGTGGTCATTGGGAGTGATGGCATATGAGCTTCTTCGTGGATGGGTGCCTGCCATGTTCTTTCTTTTAAAGATATTTGACAGTCTGAGTAACACTTCAGTGCTTAATATTCCTCAGATGTAAGCATGGAATTTCTTGAGAAGTAAGTATGGTACTGCCTGTCATTCCATTTCTTTTTTCCCCTTCCTTTCTTCTTTTCATAGAGGCCTTATGACATCCATTCCAATAGCCCAGTGGAATCCTTAGTTCAGTTGTTCAGCACCGTGAGTGTCCAGTACACAACAGCGTGGTCTAAAGACATGGTGGCATTATTGAGAAAGGTAAGTAACTGTCTTTCCAGTTGGTATTGCAATGGGTCCAGAGATATGCACTCATAGTAACTCACCCACATATTGCTACAGAATGTATTAGCGACTGCTTGGTGTGCAAGATGACTCCATGTATGTGGAGGGTCTGGAAGTGAAGCATGTGCAGTCCTAACCTCTGAAAACAGAGCTGCAGTGCTTGACATCCCAAATGTGACCATATAGAGGTCTGTTCTTGGATACAGGGTGGGATAAACAAATTTTAAATAAAATAATTAAAACATGATATCCTTATACTCAGATACTTCCCAGAACTGTGACAGCTTTATAATGCTAATGATGGAAAAAAAGAAACCCTCTCCCCTGTTCCACTCTCTTAATATCGGCAATCCAACAGTTTGCATTAATTTATTGTTTAACAGCAATGACATTATTTGCATTAGTTTAACATTATTGTTAAAGGAGTTCATCAATCATATTTTAAATTGGCAATATAAAATAATAATTTGGTCTTTTCCCCCACTTGTTTAATAAGGGCTTATTCCCACATTTTGTTTTCAAAGATCGACTAAGCAAGCATTTCCAGTATCCATTTATGTTTTTTGTGTGTGAATGGCTGAGAACATTGGGTTTGCTTCCTACTCCTGACTTCAATTGGACAATTATAGATTCTTAATTTAATAATTTAATTTAATAAATCATTGCTATCCCATCTTTCACTAAATGTCTCAAGACGGCTTACAAAACATAAATGTGAACAATGCATGCAATGTATGTATCTGATAGTGTAACCTACCTATTCCTGTGTCTGGAATAGTAACTTGTGAATGAGTTCTAATGTACTTTCATGATTTTAGTTCCACTTAGCACAGTGGTTAGTGATGTCAAGGACTTGGGTGTGGCCCACAGAATTCATTAGAATCCTGAGAAGCCTGGTTTTTATTTTTACAAATAGGTTTCTAGCCCTCATGGTGGTAGAGACAACTTTGAAAGTGTGATGCTAAAAGGACAAATCTAAAAGCTTTGCTTTCTGTCAAACAACTAGAAAACAGTGGGTGAAAGGTACAACTTGGAAAGGGAAGGCAGCATATAGTGAAGTAGTGCCAAATCCTCAATCTGTCTCTCACTGCTTCCCTGCATTTCCTTTCCTGAGCCTCATTTTCTTATTCCAGATGTGGTTAATTAGGGTCCCCAGAGGGGGGTTAGCAAAGAAAAATGTCAAGAGGACACAGCAAAGGAAATGCAGTAGGCACAGATAGGGTTAAGCAATCCCCCTGCCCTGCTTTCTCTCTCTGTCTCTTTCTTGATTTTCAGCAGAACACTGGTTTCTTGGTCTTTTGTCTAGTTTGGCACCAGGATATGTTGGGTTTTTGTGCTGCAATAAAAGGGATAGTTTATCTAATATCCAAATAAGCACAGACTTCAGAAAACATGCACCAAGAGATACCTGTTATCACCTGAGTGTGAAATGTGGGGTTTTGGAAACCTAGAAACATGGTAGAATGATCAGCCCCTCTAATAATGGACCAAGATGGTCAGTGTCAACAGAATTAGAGCCATTAGAGGAATAAAAGGCATGTTTGATGAAACCCAGAGCTTTTCACTGGTGGAAAGAACCCATTAAAAGGTTCAATGAGAAAAGAGCTGCTCAGTGCACAGAATACTGAGAGTCAGTTGAAAAAGAAAAAGAAAAAAGAAAAATGGGGTGGGTGGTAATGGAATTGTAGAAGGACATGTTAGCTGGCTGGAATCCTGAACAGGAGCACTGCTGTTAGGAAATGAGGATACACCACAACATTTTGTTGAATATGCAACTTGTAAGATCTCAAGGAGGAGGAAGAGGAACAGGAAGTCTATATGGCCTTCCAATAGGTTTTTGATATAGAAAGTGCTGCACTAGAATAAAAGAAATCCTATAGCCTAATTCTGAAAGAGAAAAATCTCTTTCAGTGGCAGCTACCTAATACAATCTGTCTTGCTACATAATGTTTTGCTGTTTTGATGAAAGAAGACATTGTCATTTTGTGTCTGTCAATGTTGGATTGTTTTAAAAAAGTGCAAAGTGTCAGCATCCTGCTTTTGTTTATTTGTTTGTTTAAAAAGCATGAACATAACAGTTACAGTAATCAAATGGCTCCAGAACAAGTCCAAGTCAAGAGGACAATATACCTAATTAAAAGCTGATGGAAGTAGGCTTCCATCATGAAACAAGTCCATAGAAACTTACTCAACAAGAGCACACATGCCCTCTGCTGGATTAGCATAGGAACACAGCTTCAATATTCAAGTTTGTCTATGGCAGCTTTCCCCAATCTGATACCTGCTGGATATTTTAGACTACAACTCCTACGTTCCTAACCTACTGACCATTCTGGCTAGGGCTGGTTAGATTTTCAGACCAAAACATCCGGAAGGTACCAGCTTGTGAAAGGCTGTTTAATAGGAATGAGTATAATGCTAGGAAAAAAGTGAACCCTTATTAGAAATAACGGAGCACCAGAATTAAGTAGCTGCTTAGAGGCTTTTGGAATGCACCTGGCTGGTATATGCTTACAGTTCAGTTGCCAATCTGTGAAGCGCACATTGGAATTTTAATGTGACTGGAATGGCTTCATCATTTTCCTGTTCACCACTCCTCAGGTATTGGTTCCTGTCTGTGCTGTAGTAATGTTTTCACAGTGCAGGCTTTATCTAGTGGTTTTTAATGTCACTTTCAAAAGTATCATGGTGAGCCGTTATAAACAATTTTGTTTGGTTTTGGCCATGCATTTTGGAAGGAATAAATACTGTGTGCGCAGATAAACATCTGAATGGGTTCATAAAGAGAGATGATTAATCAGTCCTCTATGGTCCTGTTTAAAGGTTCAGTGTTGGACAGTAATTCATTTACATGATGCAACATAGCTTTGTTGCATGATAACCATTTCTTTTGGCACTGAGAAAATAACACTTTGTCCTCTTTATCTGAAGACTGGCAGTTCTGATGTGTGGAAAAAGGGACGAGTTAATAGAATGTTTGTACAATTCATGCCATTTAGATGGAAAGCACCAAAGTTAAAGGCAACAAAATACTGAGTGGGCCTTCCCTTGAATAAACAGATCCAATTCTGACACATTTATTGAGCCAGTATGATGTAGTGGTTAAGAGCATGGGACTGGGACTCAGGCAATCCGGGTTTGAGTCCCCACTCGGTCATGGGACCAACTGGGTGACTTTGGGCCAGTCACAGACTCTCAGCCCAGCCTACCTCACAGGGTTCTTCTTGTGGGGATAAGATGGAGGAGGAGAATGATGTAAGGTGCCTTGAGCCCTTTGTAGGAAAAAGGCAGGATATAAATTGAAAAATAGACAAACAACATTATTTAGATTTTATATATTAAATTAAATGGGAAAATGAAACATTTCCGCTCCCCTTGCATTAGGACCATACAGAAGCAATAGCCATGCTGCAAAGGTAATGTACAAAACAGCCCAGACTAAAGTTGTTTTTTTTCCTAGTTGTACTGTTATTTCAAGGCCAACTCTGCTTCACCCCTCAACATTTGCATTTCAGCTTTTAACAGTGAACCCTGAGCATCGGTTTTCTAGCCTAACAAACATCCAAACTTCCTCATACTTATCAAACATGGACTGGGATGAAATCTGTGAAAAGAGAGTGGAGCCAGGCTTTGTTCCCAATGTAAGTTGATGTGAGGAGTACATTCACTTCTTTCCTAAGTCCTGTTACGACAAAGTCAGTGATATAAAATTAAGCGTTTTCTGTGGCAAACCAATTTTAGGTTCAGTGGGCTGCTGGACTTGTTTGTCAGGCTTTGTAGTAATGACAAAATAACTAGCTAAGGTGGGCTGCCATGTCATCCAAACCTAATCTGCTCCCTGAAGGATGGCTTATTTTTGACCAACAAGCCATTCTGACAACCCATGGCTTATTCTAGAGATTATTTGACCCATGATGAGTTGGTGCATCATCCAAACCTGGAAGAACAATTCTACTGTGGGTTGCAGGGATAGGCTATTGCTCTGCTCAGCAAAAGCAGCAAAAATCCCCACTGTTATTGGTGATTTCAGCCATACTACCAGAAGTGACCACACACCAATAATACCCAATTGGCCCTTTGGAGTGATTGTCAAGGGACTGTTGTTTGGTTGGTTTGGTTTCAGTTTTTGTCCCCAAAAAATTGCAAAACTGTATTTGTAAATGTTGTTGTTGTTGCTGCTGCTGCTGTTGTCAATCTTTCACGAGTGTGTGCTACAGCTGGCCAATATGAGAAATTTTGCCTGAGTAATGTGCTTCAGGTGTCAGGGAATGGTGAAACGGAGTAGATAACATACATAAAAATGGACAAGGTGAAACTGAATGTTTTGTACAATTGCCAGGGACCAAATCTGAAAATGTAAACTGAAAAGAACTTTGCAAAACAAAGTATACTTAAGAGGCAGAGAGTATTTGTCAATATGATCCTCTTAGTTTTAAATGTTCAGCAGACAGTTCTCAGTGCTCTCACCCTTTTCAACACTTTCCTGAATCTCCAGCTGCTCTAGAAAGGGAAAACATTCACACACACACACACACACACACACACCCCGCTTTCTGGGCTCCTTTTTGGGGCACTTATTGTCGCAGCTATAGTGGTTTTCTCTCAGTTCTTAAAAACAAACAACAGAGAAACTAGCTGAATGGAAGATTCATAGGGGGTGTAAGTACCACTTGTACTGGAGCTTCATTTGCTCCATCACATTCTGCCACCTCTAAGGTTGATTTGCATATTTTAGACCAGAAAAATGCACAAATACACAAATTTAGGGGATCGGAATTTTGCATATGTGTAAGAGCTGGGAA